GGGGGGGGATTGGGTCGGCTGGGATGCTGGTGGTATTCTGCAGTGCTGGTTTTTATTATAATGTATTGCTGGGACTTGTAGTCCCGCATAGCTGGTGGTATTCTGCTTTGATACAGGCGTTCTGTCAGAACGCCGACCTAGTTGAATTTGCCGCCCTCAGCATCTGTCAGAACGCCGACCTAGTTGAATTTGCCGCCCTCAGCATCTGCGCTTGCGCACAGACCAGTTATCGAGGAAACCGGGATTTATTTACAAAGTAATTTGTTTAAATTGTTAATTGTGACCGTTAATAATATTCCACCCATCATTTACTGACATGGACGGCATAATATTACCGGTCACAATTAACAATTACAAACAAATACTTTGTAAATAAATTATTGTTTCCTCGTTAATCCCGTCTGTGCGCAAACGTAGATACTGGGTCGGCATTCTCGACAGAACACCGGCACTAAATTTTTAAACTGAAGCGGCTGCCTGAGGTCCCGCGCTTGCTGGGGAGCTCGGCAGCCGTCCTGTTAACCATACAGTGCAATGCCGGTGGGGGTTTGTGGGGGCCCTTCATAGTTTCTTGCACCGGGGCCCTGAAGGTTCTAGTTATGCCTCTGATTGTGATATTAATGTGTGCCATTTAAAAAAAAAAATAGAATAAGATATAGCACATGAGCTGTAAGATATTTGGATAGGCATATCTAAAGTTTGGTGCAAAATCTTCTCTATATTTTATGTGTGCTAGAGACAGCACTCTCTATCAAGGAGAACCTGCCATCCAAGCCAGCTATATGTGTGCTTGGTGACCAGTCTTCTCAACGCCCCCCAACAGCTCTGCAAGGTACACATAAATCACATGGGGTGCCCTGCAGACTCTTCCCTGGGTTTGCACCATTTTTTTCAAACAATTAAAAAACCTACTGGTCAATTAATTGGCTTCTTTCAGAACTAGCCTCAATGTGTGAATGAGTGGAGAAGGGATTTACAATATTTTTATAGGACTGATTAAAATTACCCAAAAACCTCCCTCACCCCCTTCAGAGCATGTCACAGCTTTAGGTTTTTTTTTACCTTTTACCTGTGGACAAAACAGCTTTCTTACTACCTGTGAAGCCATCACTAGGCCTGTAAAATATTTGCAGAGAACTTAGTACCTTTTGACATGGGCATGTCCCCTAGAACTACATACCCCTTCCCATGGTGTGCAGGTAAACTGTTGGGATTGAAGGCAGCGGCATTGTTGTGTTTTGAAATAAATAAATGTATACATGTGGACAGGACCAGAGAGTGGCAGGGATAGGCGCAGTTGTGTAGTCCAGTAGAACTTTGGCAGGGCTGGCAGCACTACTTGGGTTTTCTATGCATCAGAGGCAGAATTGTCAGGCAACAACAGAAAGTTAAGATCACTAAGCACTTTTCTGTACTTCTTTTTTTTAAAGGGAATATGGGGGGAAAAAGTGCATGTGCTATATTGGAGGGATACGATTTTGCCTGAACATTCAGCCTTAGGGAGTGAAAAAATGCCTGGTACCTTTGATTATAAAGTAGTCTGTGACTTCTTCCTCTCATGTGACAGTGCTATTGCCAGGGCTGGATTTACTCTCTCTGCTGCCCCAAGGCCAGGTTCCTCAATGCGCCCCCCCTACTCGCCAAACCCCCCCTCCCAATGGAGAATGGCAGACCTGCAGGCTGCATACAAGTGATCTCGGCAACATCGTCGAGATCACTTGTACAAAACAAGTGGCTGCTCCCCTGATGTACATTTAGATCTGCTTGCCTAAAGCAGGGCTAACTATAGAAAACAACTACCCACATGGCGCTAGGAACTGCATGTCCTGGGCGTTGGGAGATGGGAATTCCACACCCCTGCTGCCCCTCTACTCCCTGCTGCCCCGGGTCGGGCCTTTGTTGGCCTTATGGGAAATCCGGCCCTGGCTATTGCTTGTTGACTGGACCAGTAATGTCACATGGGGGCAGGAAGAGAGTCCTTAAGTCTGTGAAGGCCTTGACTAGTATCACTTGTTGCTTACACAGGGCTTAATTTTTCTCACTTAAAGGCTGAAGGAAGCAGTGTAGTAGCAAAGGGAAGCTAAATATGTGCTGTTCGGGAGGTTGTTATTAAAGTGAACGTGTTACTTCACCCTGCATAGGTTTTATTAAAGGAGCAAATACAGGCATTCTAACTTCCTGGTGCTAGGTGCCCTTGGTGCTGCATTTGTTTTTAATTTGAGATCATTCTATGAACAGGGCATGTTTGTTCCTAAAGTGTATGGAGGAAAGAGAGCTGTAGGTGCTGGCAATGTTTGGGAAAGATGAATGATCAGCTTGGAAAATCAATTCCACCAAATCTACTTTTCCCTGACTAGGATTGGCCAGGGAGCTTTGGCCAGCCTAGTGGAGGGACATACAAACATATCAACATTCTGTGATCCAGTCTAGGTGAACATGTTCTAATATCTGCAAAGGCATGTAGGTTATGAGCTCATTCAAAGGACAGGCACTCATATGAATGTTAATATGTACTCTGTAAAGTGCTGCATAATACATTGGCCCTATTTAAATGCAGGGCACAAAAAGTAATCATGGCTGTGCTTGTTAAAGTGTTTAATAACAGAGAAGAGGAGCCAAGAATAAACTCTGTATTACCTTATACATCGTACAGAGAGTTAAAAAAAAAAAGTTTGCATAACATATATGTAAAATGTGCTTTATTTGATTATGCAAATTGTTGAGTTTAATGTCCATTCAACTTTAAAGAGTCAGCATCACATTTGAATGCATCTTGACACTTCTTTAATGTTCGACTTTTTTCTTTGCTTCTAGGAATGACGTGTCAAGCCCGAACATCGTACACCGAGGATGAAGTTCTTTGGGGTCATCGTTTTTACCCTGTAATTTCTCTAGAAGAAGGATTCTTCAAAGTAGACTACTCACAGTTCCATGCAACGTTTGAAGTTCCCACCGCACCTTACAGTGTCAAAGAACAAGAAGAAATGCTTCTCATGTCTTCACCAATAATAGCACCAGCAGTAGGTAACAGCAAAGAAAAAAATAGCTCTGTAGACACTCTGGACAGCCTGGACGACATAAGCACAAAAATGCCTCCAAAACTTCAGAAAATCACTGGCAGGGAGGACCTACCAAGAAAATTACTCAGAATGAGTTCTACAACTTCAGAGAAAGCTTACAGCATGGGTGACTTGCCCATGAAGCTCCAACGAATAAGCTCTGTACCGGGTAATTCGGAAGAGAAACTGGTCATTAAAACCACTAAGATGATGTCAGATCCAATGAGCCAGTCGATAGCAGATTTACCTCCGAAGCTTCAAAGATTGTCTGGTGGGGGCAGGATGGATGGAAACTTGCCTCCTAAATTAAGAAAAATGAATTCAGACAGATTTACATAACAAAAACATTTCAGGTATTATTTAAAAAATGGGTTTAGAAAAAAAAAACTCATCAAAATATACACGAGGAACTGTACAAGCTCTTACCGAGCCTTTGTAGGAAAACCATACGGGACACCGTTTCTAGGGCTGACGGTAGACAGGACTGTACTGTATATATAGTGCTTTCTTAAGAGACCTAATGTGTTTTTATGGTCTTTCTAGAACTAAAGTAATACTAACTGGCATGTAGTATCACACCAAGCATGCAATAATAGTGTGCATATTTTGCATATAGTTTTATGGCATGATTCTTACTTTATATTGTATAATCGAAAAAAAAAAATTGAAAGGGGCATTATTCTCCCCCATATTTTTTAAAACTGGTACTTCTATCATAAGAATGGTTAACTATAAGGGCAACATTTTAATCAAGATTTATTAATCATTTTAATTGAAAATGTAAATATACATACATGCTCGTTATTTCAAAGCATGTATTAATTATTAAGACTGAAATTAATTTAATAATGTAACTTCATTTTGCTTTAAAGTGGACCTGTCACTTCTGCGCAAAATTGGAAAGGGAGATTTTGGGGCATATGAATAAATTAGCCTATTTCACAAAGCACACTGCGGGTGACCACTATATCCTGTATACTAGGTCGTTGATCATTTTTTAAAACTCAAAATTGTTTTTTATTATTTTGAAAAAGCATATGCTGATAAAAATAAGAACGGGAGCTGCAGTATTGCCTTCTGTAACATACTTTACCATCTCATTGACATCGCGTATGACAGTTGCAGAGAAACGAGACCACATAAACACAAAGCAAAACTATTAAAATGTTATGATAACTTTAAAATTTCACTTTTTAAAGATCTGTTGACAGGTGCACTAGAGAATTAAATAAAAACTGAACTCCAGGCAAACAGCTAAATACACAGATGATATACATATATAGGAGCTCTTTCACCTGCCAAAGCATTTGCATTTTGGTACCTCTAGTTCTCAGATTAACACAGCACAGCACGGCCCTGTCTGGCAGGGCATAATACTTGATTTATGTCTGCTACACATAGGTACGTGTCCCTCCCCCAGCCTGTGACTGGACAGTTGAAGGAGAGAAAGCACACCGATAAGTTAACCTCTCTATCACTCTGCTCTCTCTCCTCCTATCAACATGCCCATGAGCGCTACAGCAAAACTGAATGGCTTCTGTGCTCAACTAGACAAAAGGATACAATCCTGCTGCAGGGAAACTTTAATTTTCCCGATAAATGCTTTTTGCTGTTGTTGTAATTGTAATTCACGGTGTCCATGGCTTTGCTGCTTCCTCCAGACTGGAAATCTTGATACAACACTATAGAACAAATAGAAAGGGCAAGCTTTATGTGATAGTAAAGACTCGTACTCACAAATGTTCTTCGCAAACTAATTTTTCTCATATAAAGTAATATCCAAAAAGAGACCTTCTCAAACTTCACTGCATGGAGTAAGAAACTCCCAGAGTATATCTGGTTAGACGGAATGCAGCAGCTGTCTCTATTGTACGTCACCACTGACATGTTTGAAGGGTGCACCCTCTTCATCAGAGTTCCAGTTTGCAAAGCTGAGTTTGCAGCTGAGTTTTTAAAGAACATTTGTGAGTATCACTCTTTACTGTTGTTTAATAAAGGGTTGGTAAAGATGTCACATGATGCCTGGGCACTTTCTGTTTGTTCTACATTGATATCAAATCAAGTTTTGGTACACTGGTTGCATGTATAAAACACATGATGTATTTATTAATACAGGACCGCATGCATTTGTGTATTTTATATCTGCTGGGAGTTCAGTTTTAATTTGCCGAATTAAAAAATGGGCTGTCAGCTTCTATGGGTTAATCTTTGTTTTTATTTTTTTAATGCGTGTACACTTGTCCTTGGCAGAAATTCCACATTGTAGCCTCTGCAGAGTATAAGGGAAAGTAAACGTGAAGTTTTCAAATTAATTAGAATTTCAGTTTTAATGATGTTTCCTGGTGTTTTCATTTCTCCTGGGCTAAATTTAATTTGTAAAATGGATGTTTAAGTTTTTAATGTTATATGCTGTCATAGGAAAGGTTTTTCATAGAAAACAAATTAGTAAAACTTTATACATGAATATATATTGCCCCAAAATTGCCCTTGTATTGACATGAGCTAAAGCCATGGTAGTTAGAAATACTCACATTTATATTTAAGTTATATTTATTTGAAAAACACATTCACACAGTCGATTACGGCTGTACACTGCAAGGAATCGGTGTAAAGCTGGGGCAGGGATCATAGGTGTTTCACCCACGGCCAGGAAACCTGAACAAATAAATTATATGCCTATCGGGAGCTGCGGCTGTTTGCATGTAACTGCATGCTCAGCGGTAACATGTGGCTAGGGACATATGAGCGGTCCTAGACACAGACAGGGATGCTTATCTGTGCTTAGCCACATGTAACTGCTCTATCTGTAGTTGCACACAAACAGTTGCGGGCAGCCATGGTGTCTGTCAGCCTGTCATTGCTTTGTAGAGGCTTCCTGGCCATAGATGGTCGTAAACATCTGCGTTCTCCACCGATGATTCTTTGCGGTATATGGCCCTAAACAACCATGTGAATGAGCATAATAATCTTACCATAGAGGCATAGTATATTCTTGATAAAAAAAAAGCCATAAAATTGGATTTCAAATAAACAAAATAGTAATTATTTTCTTCAGCATAATAATAATAATAATGATTTTATCTATTTTGGTTATTGAAATAGATTTTTTTATAAAATCTCCTTCTAAAGTCCAATATTTATTTTTAATGTACACTGTTAAAGACTGATATTAGAGGACATTATGGGAGCGTACTAACCTAAGAGATATATATATATATAAAATATGTATTTGTATACAGCTACATTATGCAGTTTTGTACACTTTGGGTATATTTATTAATATAGTGTCACTGTGCTTGGACCCCTTGATTCCACTAAAAAACAATTTTTGATAGACTTATTTAAACAGCACTGCTGTTAGTGAGTTCCTTCCCAGCTGTGCTACGTGCGCCGTGTCAATTAAGTCTGAGTAGTTAACTATTTTTATCCTCAATTAAAAATTAAAAGACTCTACAACACTGCAAAATGACAAGCAAGGAAAAATTCATTAAAATAATGGAATGGGTGTTGGTCTTTAAAACAACATAGTAAAATAAAAAGAACACAGTGTAACTGTCACCCCCATTAAACTAATTTATTTTCACACACATTGTTACTAGAAAAACTGGAAAGCAAAGCATCTTTCAAATAGTTTTTTTTTAAATAGCTTATATATTCTTTTTAAAGATATTTGTCAGTGACTTGTATCACTCAGAAATGTATACACCAAATGTAGCCATCCAGTAAGAAACACCAGACATCCCAATTGAGCCCTTTGATAGCTTACTTCTCCCTCCACCATACTTAGGATTGCACAGCCACATTAACTAGTGTGACTCAAAGTAGGGCATTAAGTGTTTGGAACTGGCATCCAGCACTCTTAAAGTAGATCTGAACCCATTCACTAAAACTCATATAAGCTTTAACAGTTTAATATAGTGCCAAAAATAGTTTTCTATTTTTTTTAATATGCAGCTTTCTTTAAATTAATTCTGCAATGAAGGTCCTTGTTTATAAAAGGGTTATGGGGTGACAACTGTCTCCCAATTGAGTTCCCTCATTATCATACATCCCTGGTGGAGACTATAGATGGCCATGTTGACACACTTTCTGAAGGCATGGTCCACCATTGTCACTATCACATAGCTGGACCAGAACAATGATGTTCAACTCACAATAGAGCAAATGCATGTAGACAGGGAGTAGTTAAAAGAGGCTGAAGGAGATTAGGATGGAAAAACAAGATGTGGCAATTGTTTATCATACTCAGAGCAAACCAAATGTAATTCAAGTTGAGTGTACATTTATATAAGTGTAAATCTGAATTGCAGAACAGAAAGCATCCAATACATTTTGAATACCTACACCTTTTCCCTTCCTGGTTCTTTCACATAACAGATAAGTAATGTAAGTTTGTTTTTCTTTTCCATTTGTTATGGAGGAAAAACATTCAGTGCAAACATTGTTCAGGGAGAATCCACTACTTAATATCTGTTACCCTAGGCAAAGACCTATTGTGCCTGTTGATAAACTCTAACCTGTATATATGTTTGCGTACCATATAATGTCAATGTATTAGTTATTTTACAGCAAGGTATCTCTGGGGCTTTGCTGTACCTCCTAGAGAAAATAGTTCTATAGTACTGTAGGGCTAACCATACTCATAAGGAGGCTAATGGAAGATCCAACCACTGGGAAAGATTAAGAAAGGGTTTTCCATAGACATGCACAATTGCTTAGACAAACATCCCCATGATGACCAATAATGGTCGGATGACAGTGAACCTTCTGAAATAGATTGTCCTTGATGCTATCCTGAGTTAAAAACTGCACTAGCTGTCATGCGCTCAGTCCATAAACATGCCTGTTTAGCTGCCCCAGTTGTGCATGTTTATAGAAAGATCTTTGTAAGAAAGATCCTCTGCTGGTTGCATAATTTTGACTACCATCTACTGTGTATGGCTAACCTACGTATTGTTATAAAAATGTATTAAGATAATGTATCTGATTTACAGCACAAAAAAGACAGTTAAGGTGATTTTATAGCATTGAGATCTAGGGAAACCTTAGTCAAAGAGATCTCGGGAACTCAGGAACATAAAAAAATATATATTCATGAGAAATTATTTTGTCCTTATTACACTGATATATTTCTTCATGAGGATATGATTATTTTATCATACAGTATTTATTTTCACAGAAAGTAATCAACAGCACAGGCATAAATTAATAGTTAAATGGTTTCTTTCTTTTTTTTTTAAAGATGTCTATAATTAAAATTTATGGCTTTTACCGTAAGTTACATATCATAATTCTAAAGTGAAATATTATTATTTATTTGATTATGGCATTAGATAGAATGCAGGTAGACAATGGTGATTAAACATGAACTCCAGTCAGCCATACAATCTCCCCAGTTTGTGCCCCCTCATTTTACTGGAACAGCAATGATTAATTACTATTTAGTC